ATTTTGTCTCTCATAGTTGAGGTATAGCTATGATGAAAATTACCGGCCTCTCTCATCATTTTAAGTGGGAGAATCTTATACACAAAAGCTGCAAAATCTACTTTCTGAAAGAATCAAACTTTTATTTCCATCTAACTGTGGTGTTCAGTCTCACTTCCACTCGAGCACACTACATTAAAAAACTGAAGGGTGAGCAGAGCAAACCTTCAAAACAATTTATTGAGGGATCTAAAAAGCTAAAACAACAAAAAGGCTATTGATTTTCCTATTCTCAATTGATTCTCATATAACTCCTAAAAATTGATTCATATTACCAAAGATCAATAAAAAAGGGTTTTCCATCACTTACAGCCATTATCAAAGGGGAACATTGTTTTTTTTTTTTTTTTTTTTTACATCGGGCCCTTGATTTTACGTTATTACATCATGTTCTACTCACCCATATCGGTTTTGTGTCATTTGGAGCTGTTCTGAAGATATTCCATTAGGTTATATCCAAGTAACATCTTCCTATGGACAACGAGTTGAAGGCACAAACTAGTGTGTATGACATCATCCGCGCGCCGGACTGGAGTTGTGACAGGCAGCCCGGGCCACAGCGGCTACGCTCTACCCCTTCTATTCATTCGGCTAGCTAATCTGAATCGTTCATCGAGATCATCTGTGGTAGTAGCACTAGACATCTTCCAGGCATATGAGTAAAACTAGCAGCAGTTCAGCGGACAGGATGAATGAATGGTAGCCGGCGCACGCTGATGACATCATACACAGTCCGCTTTGTTTTACAAAAGTATAAATATAAAAAATATAACCTTGGATGTCTGGGGGACAGTGATTCGCCTACATGTTATGAATGCTGGCGTACCATAAAGAATACATTATGAACAGTTTAGTTTGTGCCTTTAACTGGTTGCCCATATAAAGACGTTACTTGAATATAAAAAAAACAAATATCTTTGGAACAGCTCCAATGACACAAAACTAATATGGGTGAGTAGAACATGATGTAACATAAAATCAACTGGCCAATGTAAAAAAATCGCTGTTCCCCTTTAACTAACACTGCTCAATTAATTTGCTGTTGTGTGTTAATAAAAATATTAGTATCAATGTGTTGCATAATTACAGTGATGCAATTCAGGTAGCGGCTAAGAAATATTTGAATACCAACTATTTGAGATCAGATCAGATTGAAAATTCTTGATTCTAAATAAATGTAAACGTATTTTCACGACCATAAGGCGCACCGTACTTAAAGGCGCAGTCCCAGTTATGTGTGCCATTTCTGTATTT